TATGGCTCAGGAGGGCATGATCAGCCTGGAGTAAACCAATTTAGTGAACAAGAGAGAGAGGACCACTCTTTTCAAAGGCAGACAGTGTGTAGTCTTGAAGGCAAAGCCTTCATTAGGTCCAGCTTGTAAAAATAGTAGATCAAGCTATAGACCAAATTAAACCCTGGGCGTCACTCACAAAGCACGTTCAGAGAAACTGCCAGCCTCCACCGGTTTACTCACACCCACAAATTGGCCAATGCCCCCTGCTGGTGAAACTCATTAACGCACATTAAACCTTGCATTTCACACTCTTCCGACAATGGAGCCTACCTGTTCACCCTTTGGACCAGGTTCACCAACAACACCCTGCAAGGAATACAACACAACACTTAAGTATTTTGAGATTTTTAACTATCTAATTTCAAGTGAACCAGCTCTCCTTTTGGGCTGATGGGTAAGAACAAGTGTGGATAATGTGTCAGAAGAGAAATGTCCCGTCTTCTCACCACCTAGCAAGTGTCAGGGATGACCTGGAGAAACAGACGACTGTCCAAAAAGTCACTGGCCACGTGAAGCGATCACTGATCACATCCATGTAAAATGTGGCGAGTAGGAATGTAAATTTACAACTAGATAGGAGGTGTGACTACAGCTAGAATTTTCACTTTACTTGGCTTTTATTTTTTCCCTTCTAAGAAATTATTGTATTAGTAGATTTTTGGCTTCTTAACCTTCACTCTCGGTACTTTAAGACATCTTTCTGGATAGTTCTCTATGATAATTTCTAGAAATTCTCCACTGGGCCCAAAGCAAGCTTTGTTTCTCAACACAGCAGAAATCAGCCTTCCAAACGAGGAACTTTCTGGACGGCTTGAGAGCTTACCCTGTCACCTTTCATTCCTGGAAGTCCAGGGGGGCCGGGCATGCCGGGGAGGCCAGGGCTACCGAAAGAACCCTGAAAGACAAACACAGAGTCCCCAGAAGCACAGTTACTGCAACACAGGAAACACACAAGCCAGACACAGCCTCGGGTGTGTTGACTCCTGTCTGAAATAAATGTGCTGTGCTTGGTTTAATCCTGCTCCTCAAATCTGCCACATTCTCAGGAGAAGAGAGCCCGTCCCCTCTCCCTCCACCCCACCTCTGAGGTCTTCAATTCCATGCTTTATGCGCCTTCCCAACTGTGGGCTCTTTCAGTTGAGTCCCTGCGACGGGGACAGCCCCGCTCCCTGTGTAAACAAGCCTGCTTGAGAACAAGGCAGCATTCACGCACAGTCCTCTCCAATTCCAAGAGCAACCAGAGGCCACACGGAGCCCTCCACATCTCCCCCAGTTTTAAAATAAATGCTACCAGCCATGCAGATTGAAATGCCCTCCAGGGGTCTCCTAGACTTAACAGGAAATCTCACATTTACCTTCTCACACACTCACCCAGGAAGAGGAATCAAGTAAGGGTGATTAAATCACCCGCTGTAACTTGTTCTTCTCTCCTGGATTATTTTTTGTTAATTTATTGCATTTTATAGGAAGCAAGTAAGCTGCTGGAGACTAGAACTATGACTTACCAGTTTACCTGGTGGTCCTGGGGGTCCGACTGGCCCGACTTCACCTCGACTGCCCTGGGAAAACACAAACACGGTGGTCAAGCAGACAGTCTACCAAAATGCACATGTGTAATCACTACGTCAGTAAAATTGCATTCTACCTAGGATTTTGCTTCAGTATAAAAGTCATCAAGGTATTCTCCCCATCTGCGACTGAAGGCAGAGACCTTTATATAAAATGCCTACAGCCTCCTCAGCGTTCATCCTTCCGTGAATGTTCGAGGGCTGTTCACGGTGACCTTTAGACAGAAGTCACATACCATACCTCTACAGGAAATGGCAATCAGGAATTTCCAGCATTCAAATCACAATCTAACTTAGACCATGGTTACTTTGTGTACATGTTTTATACTCTCATTTAGACTTACGTGTTCCTGAGGTATATGTAGACATATTAAAAATTTGAATTCCACATTTATGTCTAACACACAGAGTAAATTTCAGGTCTACAGTACATTTTAAAGCAATATCTGACAAATGATCTTGAACCTCAAAAGAGTGAAGAAAGAGACACAGGACAGAGATGTTTGCCTTTAAATTACTACTTCAAAAAGACACAGATAGTAGAAATTAGTAAAGTTTCTGAAATAAAAAATGACTTGTCCTACTCGTTCTTGTTCTAAACATGTCTTAAAAGGTTAAATAGATTTTGGAAAGTACAATTTACAATGAAGATATACCAAAAGCAACACTTTTGTTTCATTTTCTGAGCCAATTTCAGTTTTTTATTGGAAACTCCTAGCCCTTTGAGTAAAGGAGACACATGAACTCTTTCATTTTTTAACCTGAGAACTTCATACACTTTTATGCAGGCTGATAAAAGCTCATTTCATTTCAAAAGACTATGAAAAGTAGTCTTTTGAATTTGTTTTCCTTTCAAGTGACATAACAATTTCATATTAATGCTTAATATTTGTAAATGCTTCTGATAAGATTATCCTGACCTGACCCATATGCTAGTTATTTGTCTATAAATAGAAGCAAATATCAAGACCCATAAGCCTTCCAAAGTTTCAGCTGCTCTGAAGGATTAAGAAATGTTTGCCAAGTTATAAGTCTCTCGCTATGAGCTGTCATTTCATGGCAGTCGATCTTATGACTTACAGGTGATTTAAACAAGATGCTCTTGAATGCTTTTCAAAACCTTTTATGTACATGTTCTGCCTGATATATGAGCCTGGATGATAACATCGGTCCTTAACCCTTGTGAGCAGCTTAGAAGCCAGAAGCCATGCCTGACAAGGATGGATGTTGGGAGGATGTCAGTCACATGGAAACCAACCTCGGAGATAGATTTTTCAATCTGTCTCTACCCACAGAGATTGGGTTCCACCACATTAATCTGACCCAGCACTTCAAAGTTCAAGACAGAGTTTCTCCAATATATCTGCTCTGCTGGCATTTCCAAATAATTCCTGAACTGCATCATGACTGAAATCCTAAATGTCACTGTGGTAACGTGACTTTAATCCACAGAACAATTAATAGTCCTCGGCAGGAAACGTCATTAATCAAATCAGAAAAAGAAAGCAAAGTTCTTTGCACAACCTCAAGTATTCATTTCTAAACAAATCAACCACTATGCCATCGTATCCAAAATAAAGATGATTAATATAGTTTTTTTTCTCTTCCACAAACCAAAGGGCTAAATTAAAATAAAGGATTGTATAACCTTTCATTCGCTTTGGGAGAGATTAATTTTCTTCCCAGTCAAAGGCATAGATTTACTCTGCTGGAATCTCATTTTCCCCATCTTTCATGAGCGCTTAGTATTCAGTTCAGAAATCTTTCCCAACCGCTGGCAGGCCCTTGGTAACACCTATGAATGGCTCAGAACCCAGTTTAGACAGCCTGCCCTGCTGAACGTCTTCAGCCACGACATTGCCACACACACAGGACCAGGGAAAAGACCGATGAAATTATGGGCATTTACTCTGCCGTCACTGCACACACAGACAGCATGTGGGTCTTCATTTTTATATCACTTCCATCCAATAACCCTTGGCTAGTCTAAACTCGGGTATTTCTACAGAAATCATCTCGCTGTGAAAAAGGGTAATGTTTATTTTCACAACAATAGTCAAATAGCTACAAGAAAAGTAAAGGACAAGATTTTTCTGATGGCCATCTTATGATTTCTGTATGTTCTAAAACCATGCATATTCTTTCTCTAAGCTCTGGAATTTCACCTGGAACTAAGGTGAACATGAGGAGTCAAGAGGTAAATAGTAATCTCTAAAAACGTACATCCAATGAAATACGTCCTGCCAGGAGCAATTCACCATAAACTGTAACCACAAGTGTGCTAAATAAATGATAAATCTCCTATGTTTCAACATCTGTGGTGAAACAATATTCTCAGACGTGGGCAAGGGAGGCTGGTGTGGAAACAGCGATCCTGCCCAGTGGCTAATATTTACAAATTCCAGACAAAAGTTTTGATCTTTAACAAGAGAATTGGAAGGAACCAGGAAAAAAAAGGCAAACTTGTACCATTAAAAATGTGAAGACCATAATAAATGCTCTGTTTTTCTCTTGGATGCTCTGTGTCACCATGTATATCTCCAAAGTGTTCAGACACAGCTGCAAAATTCATCCCTATTTAAGAAGGCAATTAAGGCTTTTTAAAAAAAGATGCAGATCCTCTGCCTGTGATTCCCAACTCTGGCTGTGCACTGAAATCCCCTGAGGAGTTTTTAGAAATATATTTCGCTGGTGTCTTCCACCCCTCCACTCCCTTCTCTCCCTCCACACCCCATCACTCTGCCCAGATCCTGATTCAGCAGGTCTGGGGTGAGACCCAGGGATTTGTTAGAACTGATGTTCTGTTTGTGTGTCTTCACCAGCTCCACCTAGACTTTTGTTAAATGCTTACTGCGAAAGTTCCGTAAGTATTGACATTTAAAGTCTGTGAAAGATGTGTTGTGCCATTAGAATTCACCAAGCTAACTTCAAATAAAAAACATACAGGGGAGACTTGACTTGTGGAGGCATCAGAGGGTGGAGAGGAGGAATGGACCCAGAGCCCCATGGCCAGGTCTGAAGTCTGGCTCTGCTGTGCAGCAGGGAACTCCAGGCTCCCAACTCAACCTCTCTGGGCCTCGGGTTCTTCATCTGTAAAATGGGTTTTTTCGAGGATTAAGTAGTCACATGAAGCACTTAGAACAATGTCCAGCTCATATTAAGCACTGCAGACGTGCTAGCTGTTATGTTTATCCAAGGTTTTATTCAAGAAATAAAGAAATCAATCAAAATTATGTGATTAAAAAATTTTTTCTTTTCTTTTTCGGAGGAGGTAATTAGGTGTATTTGTTTGTTTGTTTACTTAAATTTAACAGACATATTGGGGATCGAACCCATGATCTCATGCATGCTATGCTAAGCATGCAATCTACCACTGAGCTATACCCTCCCCCTCGCTCGTACGTACGATACCGCCTTGTCGGTACAGCAGAAAGTTACTTGAATAAAAAATAAGACTTGTCCTACCTCGTTCTTGTTCTAACAATGTCTAAAGT